GATTGCCTTGGGCCACCAGAGGAGGATGGTGAGAGTTACTGGGAGAACTTGACGAGTGATAACTGGGGTTTGTGGGGCTCAGAGGCTAGTGTCTGACTCTTGACTGCATAGATCTAAAGGCAAGATGGCTGTAGGAGGGACCCAGGGCAGAGCAGAATGGACAGAAAGGATTTTGTTGCCAGTGAGCTGTCCTTCTAGAGTCAAAGTGGGCAACTCAGACAATTGCTGGGCTAGGGTGCCTTGAAGGCCTCTTCTCAAAAGAACTGCACGCAGGGCGGTAACTCCAACAGAAAGGGACTGGCTGGGTGTACCACTACTTATAGGTGCTAAAGGGGATTCACAGAGGGTGCATCACGCCTGTTTGGGAATAGTGAAGTGGGGTTCTCCATCGGCCATGAGAGAAATGGCTAGCATTTGGCCTCCTGTAGTACAAAGGGCATCAGTTCCACATTAAACAGCTCTGGTCACATAGAGCCTTCCATTCCCTTTCTGTTCCATCCTCATCCTGCCTCCCCCTGCCTGGAGGAGCCAGGGGCAGCACCACAGAGGGGAGAAGTACGAAGAAATAAAGCACAAACGCTCTCTCCACCGCTCTGCTGTGCTCTGGCCCAGGGGAAGGTTTGAATTGGATGAGATTTTCAAATTTTGAATTGACTGAATTTAATCCTTTATTGTTCTTTTTCTTTCCTTCATAATTACAGGAACAGTGGTTACTGGTGCAACCTCCACAAGTTAAAGGAACTGTCAGATGAAGAATAAAGTGCACTTTTCTAATGAACTTAATCCTTTAAAAGGAAAATGGTAGGTCACCCAAGGACAGAGAAAGGAGATCCAGAAGAGCTTGCACCAAGGCAATGGGAAGAAAATGAATAAATCTGCCTCCATGCTGAGCCCTTAGGCAATGAACCACAGGGATCAGTGTAGACAGCGAATGAATAGGTGCTGTTAGGATGAGGCTTGAGCTCAATCCGAACTGAAACGAGAAACATGTCGTGAGTTATGGAAGGATGACTCATTCATCTCGGGGTCTTCAATGGAACAAAATAATTCTGACCTTATTTTAGGTTTTGAACCCTTGGTCAGCTCTTTGTAGAGTAGCATTATGGGTAGATTTAATTTTTAAAATTTCAGCAAGGAAATAGATTTCCCTCATTATTTTTCCAGCAATTATCTTCTTTTTTGCTAAGGCAGGTAGAAAATAGTGATGGTCTGTCAGTAGGTTACTGCCTGAAAGATGTTTGTTTCACTTCATAAAATATTTTTAAAAATCCTTATGTAATGAATCAGAATTGAGTAAGCGACAGCAGATGATATTCCCACCCCTCCGATATCCCAAATATGTCCCACCACAATTCTTGGTGCGTCTCGTAGCCATTTTCATCACCAGACAAGAATGTGGAGACCGGATGCTCATCCGAAAAACCTGACTCACCGTTTGGGGCTAACTGTCATGAACCCTCAGCCGAATAAAGGGAAATTTGCATCTACCTCTTATTTTTCAGATATTACCTTCACTGTTCCGTTCTCCACAACACAAAGGCCAGAGCCCTCCTGGGAAGACTTCCTTCAACCTCTCAGAGGCACTAAAATTTCTGAGCAAGCACACAGCTCTTCTGGCCCCTCACTGTTTGCCTTTGCAGTTTTTAGCAGGAAGCAAAAGTAAAAACTGCTTCCAGTATATGAATGAACATGAGATGAATTTGTATAGAGCAAAACCTGCTGCCGTGGGCAGACATCTGAACCACTTAATCTTTCCTTTGCCACCCAAACTGATAGAGCTCAAGGAAAAATCAATACACCCCGTGGAAGGAAAAGCAGTAAGAAAGGCAGCCTCTCTCTTATTTAGAACATTGGAGGGTGTTTCTTTCTTTTTTTTTTTTAAGAGTGATCTTGGTCAAACCTTTGAGTCAGAGGAGCAGAGAAACAAATATTTTATTTGTTTTTCAAATAAAGTATTTAAACATCTTTAGAACTCATCGTTTTAACCCCATCTTATATGGGGGAAAGTCTTACCAAGGAGCCCAGGTGTGAGAAGTGTGAATGAGTGTGAGTGTGTGCGTGTGAGCAGGCACCTATGTGTGTGCATGGGGTGGGAATGAGAGGGACGTTTGGCTAATGTTTGGACAAAACGTCTGTCAAGGAGCTGCAGAGAAGCTGGGGCGAAGCAGCAGAGCGGATTGGAGGAGGCATCCTGCCTACATTTAGCAGCAGGAACTTAACCTCAGGTCTGGGGTCTACTCGCTGTCATCACACACCCCCCGTTCTCAGTACTCCTGACCACCTAATACCCCGTCCACTCTCACGCCCACACACCTCTGCGCACGCTGCACTTGTCTTCTTATTCACCTGGCAAATTCCAGTTCTGACATTACTTCCTCTACAAAGCCTTCCCGGCACCTCAAATTCAAGGGGGCCCTTCACTTTTCTGGCCCTTTGTCATTGATTTTGTACCTCTGTTGATCACATGTCACTGTGAATGTTTACACAGAATTTTGATATTTGAATAATTTGAGAAGTTCCATAATATATAAATATAAAACTATATTAAAGGCACTAAGAAGTCCTAAAAACAAAGAAAAGTGTTAATTTTTTTAGTTCAAAGTTCCCCCGTTTATTCGACCACATACAAATATAGCCCCTCTTCCCTCCTATAACGATTATTATCCTCAATAATGGGTGTTCTAGGGACAACACTTTGGAAAAGTTTGTTCCTGTGATCTCTTTGGGGCCGGTGACTGTTTTTGCAACACCAGGATATGCAAGAATGTCTGACATATAAAAAATACTTATTGTGTGTGTGTTGCATGAATGAGTGAGTGAGCGATGAATGAAGAAGCCTCATTCCGGTGTCCAAGCTCTGACTGGACTGACTGTACAATGCAGTGGATTGCTGGAAGGGAGGTAAAAAGTCTTCGTAGATTTCTTCCTTTCAGGCCCAGGGTCAGCAACTACATTAAGACTTGGTACTGACATTAAGAGACTAAGCAACGGTGGTGGGCAAAGCTGCCTGCCTGGGGGCGGTATCTAAGGATAGCAGAGGAAGAAGGTGAGAGACAGGAAATGGTGATGGGAAGATGAGAGGGGGAGGGGGAGCAGGGGAGGAGAGAAGCAGGTGCCGAGGGCAGGGATGGCCGTGCCCTGCCACCGAGTCCTGGCCTCTTCAGGGATGACAGCGTCGTTACGCCTATCCCTTGATACAGACAGTAGAACACCTGCCGGTTAAGATATTAGAAAAGCCAGGTCCTCTTTTTCTAACCCCTTCTGCCCTTTAGAACTCCTTTATTCTTTCTTCTAATGCCAATGCAGAGTGCTTGTGAGTACTCAGGAGGGACCCAAAACATTTAAAATAGATCTCAATGGATGAGGAATTTGGAGATTTTGATATACAGTCTTAGGTGAAGAAAGAACAGTTAAGTAATTTCTCTTTGGCGAACTGGCCGGTGAAGACTCTGAGGAGTGAAGAGTAATACGAAAGTACTGATGCCCACAGTGACGCAGCACCTGACTCCCGCATCTGGGGCACGGGCGTCAGGACTCCCAGCCTCGCCTCCTTCTCTGTTGCTTGTTGACACAAGCATGGTCCCAGTCTCTGGTCACAAATGAGAGTGAGCAAGGATGAGAGGGATGCATTCTTCAAAGGATGGATTACGTTCAGGTTACAGAGTCAAATGAGTGGTTTGACAGTAGTTCACAGCTCTGCTGCCTCTCCCAAGAAGTGTGCGCACCCCAGCCAACTGGTCCTCACCTTCAGTGAGGATGAAAAACGATGCCCTGAATAAGTAATCATTAGATCATGACCCAGAAGTCTAATGATCTAATCATTAGATCGGTTACCCAGAAGATCTGACCTAGCAACTAATGTTTGACTGGAAAAAGTTCTTTAACACTTCCCCATACTTACAATTGTACCTCTGAGAAATGACACCAAGGACTACTGCAAGTTTAATGCATTAGTCTTTCAAGATTTGCTGTACTCCTGGACTACATTCTAAAAATGGCAAAAAAAAAATCCCAAAATTAGCTTACCCCATAAATGAAGAAAAAATTTCTTTTTGGAACTCCAAGAGATCGTTAGTTGCTTTATTCATTCAAACAAGGATGTTAAGAGGTGGTGACATTTATCGTTTTGATGAACCCAATTGTCTTTTAAAATATTCCTGCAGATTTATGGATTAATTTGTCACTGTTGGTTATCAGTCACTCCACACATAACACTGGTTTCTAGTGTGGTTCCTATGGCAACCATCAGTGGAGGTGGGATCTGGGTCTTTAGGGCCAAGATACAGATACACACATGGAAAGCTCCATCTTTTGTCATTTCCCAAAGTGCCTTACTTTTAAAAGAAGGAAGTAAAATGATTTTGTCTTTTTCAATTCAAACTCCTTATGTAAGTGATCCTAGATGGAACTAAAGAAATAGTTTCTGGGGCTTTATTTTGTTCTCTTATTCTACCTTGCCCTGGTCTCCCTTCTGTGGCAGATTTCTCCTCAAGGTCAAATTTTCCCTAGAGAACTAGTCCCTGTGGCCACTAGGGGGCTGCGCTGCACACCACATTCAGGATTCATCCTGGGTCTTCACTCACCTCAGGGCCACTGAGGATGTTCTTGAGGATATTCCCATCATTTGATCTATTTTGTGTGAAAAGTATCCTAAGATTATTCCAGCTTTGTCTTTAGAAATAAGAAACACTGACAGCAAAGAGGCAAGACAGTAAAGCATAAGAATGGAAATGTGAAAATATCAAGACCAAGCCTGGGTGAAGAACAGCCTTTAACTAGGTGGCCCTTCTCTTAGCTATAGCTCTCACCTCTGCACTTTGTCTTTATTGGACAGCTTATGCTTCCCCACTCTCCTACCAGACTTCCCGGAGGGCCCTACTCACCCTCCTCTCTCCTCCCTTCTCTGTTGACAGAGCCACAGTTCGGCCAATGCAGAGGGTGGGAAGAGGTGGCAGAAGCAGTTACCCTCGGGGAAAGGAGTCTATTTGCATCTCACTCACCCAGCTCGTTCTTGAGGGTGTGATCCTGAGGGAGAATGGAGTGGGAATTCCTACTAGTTCCTCCTCCGACAAACCAGTTCACGTTGGGGTTCCAGCGGTTCACGAAGCCACAGAGATGATTTTCTTCAAAGTCACATTCTAGCAGAAGAGAAGTAAAACACACCTCATGGAGATATAGTCGCACCTGGGTATACCCGCACTTGCTGCAGAGTGTGCTCTTAGATCTTAAAATATGTTTCTCACTCCCTTTGTCCAGGGGAACCAGGACCCCTGGGCAGTATTGGTCAAGAAGAGAGAGCCAGCCTATAATGAATCGAGACTGTGACTCCTCATTGCCCCTCTAGACTATGGTTCTCCTGCTTACTGGCCCTCTTGTGTGCAGTGACCGCTACCTCCCTTAGCCTGAATTCCTGCACATGTGAAAGTTGTAAGTGGGACAGCTCCCCACGCAGCGTCATGTGCTTGGCTGGGGCTTGGTACAAGCCAGACATTTTTATCAGCCATCTTGTTTAAAAGCACCATTTAGGGCTATGCTCTTAGTTCCAAGAACTTTATTGTCCACCTTTTCTTGTATCTGGTAGCCCATTCTTCCATCAACTTCTCTCCTGATGGTGGTCAAATACCCAAAGCTGAGAGGCATCTTTCTGAATGCTAAAATCCTCTCCTTTTCTTGTAAACAAGAACCCAGTTAGATAGAATAGGCAGGACAGGCATATCTTAAGCTCAAGGTCCTTCTGCAGCTACTGAGTAGAGATGAGACACAAGATAAAGAAACCCCGTCCCCTTTTTAGTGGTGTTGACATAGTTGCATGGATAAATTGTTCCCAGTCAATAGACTTCTTTAGTAGGAACAAGAAACTCACAAGCCAGTGCTTCTACTGACTACTGTAGTCATCAATGAAAAATATAAACTGTGGTTGTGCTGGTCACCTCCCATTGGCCCCTTCAGATCCACCCCACCCCTATTTCACCCACTCTGCCCTCCACAGGTTGATCTCTGGACATCCGTGAACTCCCCAAGTTACATCCATGGACTCCCCTGCTTCCCGGCTGCCTGTTGGATTCGACCAGTGGGAGATGGGAAGAGAATGAAGTTGGGACTGTTTATTCCTCTAGTACCCTCCCTGCCTGCCAGGTCACCATGGGTTGACTGTGTCCCTCTACTGGGGACAAAGCCCTTGTCAAGTAGTTCTTGCCACATAGCTACTACCTCCACGTTCTGGTATCCCTCCAGATCTAAAGATGGTAGGTCGCCATGCATGAGTATCAGTTACTAGTCCTGGCTTACAACACTACCCCTTCGCCAGTCTCCTCTGCTCACTGACACCTTTGTAGTTCTTTGCTGAACTGGCCTCAAATTACGTTGGTTGAATATACCCTCTGTTTCCACTTTCCTGCCGGGACCTGGACTGATATGGTAATCAATGTGTTTTTACATTAGCAAGCTCTGAAACATTTTAAGATTTTCGTTAGCAACTTTTCCACTGCAGCATCTGCTAACCAATGCTAACACTCAGTGCCGAGGATGACTGCAGAGTAAAATAAAAAGCAGAATATCCCTCAATGTGCCAGGCACTACTCTGAGCACTTTATAGGAATTGACTTATTTAATCCTCAAAACAATCACATGAGGTAGATACTATTATTAACCTCATTTCCCAGATAACAAACTGTGAGAATCAAAGATGGTACACAGAAAAAAAAATATGTGAGTGTATGCATAAATTTAACAAGATAAAAGTATTGACTCTCCTTTGGTTTTGTAAACAAACCAGAAGCCATCAAGTGACTTGAAGAAATAAACACTTTTTGATTGTCCAGCACCATGTGAATCACCTTCATATTCCTGTTCTCATTAGTCCCCACGATAATCCTATGAGCGAAGCATTTTACTCCCATTTTACAGGTGATAAAACAGAGGCTGTGGTGCTCAGTGAGTTGACTGAGCCAGCAGGTGGCGCTCTGCCAGGAGTGCCTGACAGCTGTCCTGCATGGGTTAACATGCAGCCACCACACAGGAGCTATAGGAAGGTCAAGTGAGGGAGTTTGTGTCTGAACTCACTGTATCTTCAGCAAATGGTCACATTCTTAGTCTGTTTTCTTTACTTGCATTAGCATCATCATTGGAAGGTCAAAACAGAGAAGTAAAAGTCAGGGAATTAGCAAAGGCTGTTTTGTGTTCAGAATAGCCTTTGACTCTTCTCTGACAGCCAAGCAATTTCTAAGTACTTACTGTTGATACTGAAAAAATGTTCAAATCTATCGCTTTTCCCCTATTCCATTACCAACTCCAATTTGAGATCTTCATTATGTCTCCTTTGTAAGGTCACAATCACTTTCTACGGTCTTTCCCATCTCTTACATATTTTCCTTGTTTCTAACTCCATTTTCCATGTGGCAGCCAGTCACCATCTGAAAACCACAGTTGCAGGCCCCGCCCCTGCACACTGGGCTCTAGCGCCTCCCAACCACAGGACTCATTAACCCAAGCTCTGCGGCTGGACCCAGACTCTTCCCTAACAAACACCCTTCACAGTTCTGATTCTCACTTCAAACTCCCCACTTAGTTTCTTGCCTCTGCCTGAGCAGGCCCTGTGCTTTCTCCCCACTTGAGTCTTCCTGTCCAGCACCTTGACTTATTAAGTGCTACTCCTTCCGGAAACCCCAGATCAAATGCATCTCCTGAATTCCGACCTCTCCAATTTCCTCTCCTCACCCCTGCACCTCCACAGCATAGCCGGTTCTTCTCTGGTAGTATTTACCATATGGAGAAATAGCTTCAGGGGTAGACAAATAGATGGTGAGCAGCCACAGAACATGGACTAGGTCTTCTCTTTACTCCCTCTCAGAAGCTGGCTCATAAAGGCACCCAGCCAACCCAGCTCAAGTGGAATTTCAGAGACAACAGTGATTATAAAGACAGGAGCAATGAGGTGCCAGAGAGCAATCAAGTAAAGTGAGGAAAGGAGGTCATACGATGCCTGCTCTTCAGGCAAAAGCAACAGAAACTTAGTTCACTGCAAACAGCAAACTATTTGTATTAGAATATATTGAGGTTAAGACAGCAACTCAGGTTTCGCAGTTGCTACATCTACTTTTCTTTCATCAATCCAGTCAGTCCAGGCAAATTCTAACGAGCCTTCCTATGCTAAAGACAGGGAAACAAAATATACTATCCTAGTGAACCTGGCAAAGAATTTTAACTACTATGCAGAACGCAGTGCATTTGTCAAAATACTTTGTCTTTAGGATGGGTTCAAAATACCCTCTGGCCAGTGGGGATTTTAGGGAAAGATTCACATTCTGATGCAACAAAAGTGAGACCCACTTACCAATACAGTAGCCGGTCGTCATCTTGATTTCAAAGAGTGCGATGCTGGCTTTGTTTCCCTGTCCCAGCACACCTTCAATTAAAATCTGCGCAACACATGGGGGAAGGGGCGTTAGACTTCAAAATGCCATGTTTCCTCGGTTCAGTATCTCAGCTATTAGTCGGGAGCTGTTCAGCAATTCAAGGCAAAAGGAGACTGTTTGTCTCAGCTAATTGAAATTGGATACCAATTTCATGATAGAGTTTGTTAAAACAGTGTGTGTGGGTGGGTGTGTACAGTATACTTAGAACCTGGAGAGGAGCAGGATGTCCAATCAAAGCTCGGAGTCAGCTGTCTTCCATCCTTGTGCCAAGCGCCACCTGTGGCGGTGCCTTTGGTAACACCACCTGGCTGTGGGTGCACAGGGGAGCTTGTGTCTCGGGGGAAATCCATTCTGAGAATGGCCAGGATCAGAGGACAGATGCTTCGGAGGGAAAAAAAAATCCCGGAGGAGGAGGTGGGAAACATAATCTGACTAGTGATGTTAAATCGTCACATGAGATGGAGGCTCCAAACAATTAACTTGCAGTTTCTACTAAATATATTGTTGAAAATTGTACACAAGCACAGGCAGAAGCATGACAATGATGTGTCTGATTTCAAGCACTGTTATGGTCCACATTTAGTTCTGTTTCTGAAAGTATTTGCTTTTCCTTAGGCGATGTTAGCTCAATATTTTGCAACTATGTTGGTTGCATATTTCAAACTGTTAAAATTTGTGTGTGATAAACAGTTGAGAGGATGTTGTGAAATAAGGAACTGAGACCCCAGTGCTCCTTCCCTCTACTCGCCCTGATGCAGAGGGGCTCCCAGCGGACAGGGGTAGAGGAGAGCATCGTATTTCAACTCTTTCTAAAGAAATGGAATGGGATGGGAAATTGGAAAGGGAATTAGGAAGGGAGAACATTTTCATGAAGCCTCCATCGTATCCTCAGTGACGTATTCTCTCTAAATGGCGCACTCTGTGGCCGACTGAATCAAGTCCTCCCTCTTCCTCTACTTCAATGAGCATTCGTCTTCATCTTGCATTTGCTACCTTTCTTTTTTTAGTTGTTCTGATGGAACAACTTCCATCTTTGAAAAGGAATCAGAGCACGTCCTTTAAGTAGTTTTCCTCCTTCGAAGTATTTTATTTTTCCTTTTACTATGGTTAATGGTTTGTTTTAAAATGTGTAGCAAACAAACCATTAGGAAGATAACATAAACATACACCACACACAACTTAGAAGAATGAAACAAAATTGTAAGAAATGAGAATGCTCCTTTAAAGCACATTAGAAAATAAATTTCCATTGAAGAGGTTGGTTTAAGCCTCATTTGGATTTGTACTGACGTCCCATTTAAAGAGACAGAAAAGAAACCTGGGAAGAAGCTCTTCTAAGGAATAAACAAAATATTAATTTCCATTTTTGATATTCTTCTCTGAGGCATCTCCTATAAAACATCACACCCTAATACCGGAGATAACTAACTTCAATGGCAGCCGTTTTCTGAAGACCTCAGAACAGCACAGAGCCACAGAAAAGCCCTGGACCTTCCTCCCAAATTCCACCTGCCTTGAATATCTTGGAACTGTTTTGTAAATCCAGGCTGGCTATGAGCCAGCTGTCTGAAGGTTCATTAGTGGACCAAAGCAAGCGGTCGAAGCTTTCATCCTCATATCTCAGGTAGAGGTTCAGCCGACTGGGATCTGACGGTGACCCTGAAGACACGGTTATCTGGTAGACCAGGCGGAGGCAGCTCCATTCCTCAGCCTGCAGGTCAGGACTTAGCAGCAGGGCTTTCTCTCCCGGCTTGGCAAAGGAGGCATCCACGTAAATGTAATGGCCTGGAAAGAGAAAGGAGCACAGGGAAGGGGTCAAGCTTCTACGGCAGCTCAGGCAACTCCATAACTGTGGAGTGAATCTGAGGGCGGACGCAACGTGCAGGTGCATTCTGTTAGCCCCCTGATTGTTGCCTGATCATTAGATCTCTGCCCTCTTGTGAAAAATTAGAAGGTCCAGCAACACTGAGGCCACTTACGTATGACACGTGACAGCAACATGCTAGCGCCGAGTAGTGCCACCTCATCAGAGGTGGCGTGTAGGCTCCGTTTTGTGATAATTCCTCCTACTCCCTGTTACCTCCTGACACCGAAGCCCAGTGTCTTTTCCTGTTGTTATGTTATGCCAGGCCCACTTAGCACGCTTCGTTCAGCTTCCTGGTCCCCACAGCCATGTGAGTTTTCGAGCCCCGGCTAACATGCTTCAGAATCTGGAGCAACAGCATGAGCAAGGGAAATACCCGAGACTGGAGTAAACTCAATCTTCTCCTTCCATAGCTTCCCTTCATACCTAATGCCTCAGTCTGCATTTAACGTGCATCACTGGAGTAGATTGAATTGATTTGGTTCCCTCAGATCCTGGGGCCTAGACAGAAAAAGTGCACTGTAACCTAATTTTTTATTAGGAATAAGACTCTCCTTAAGAGTCTCAGACTCTTCTATGAGCAAATCTCAGTTCTGATAACTAAATGAGAAGCACATGCAAAACATGTGGGATGGGGCTTGGAAAGCTGTGGGAACCCGGGAATGAGCAATCCACATTCCCTTCTCTTCCACCTGCTCCTGCCCATTCCCACTCTCTCCTCCCCCTTCACCTTTCCTTTTCTCTCTCCATCCCTCTTCCCTTCCCTTGTCCTCTCTCCGCCTACCTTCCTAATGCTGACAAGTGGTAATCCGCTGGCTACACCAGGATGTAGAACAGCATTTTCATGGAAAAAAAAAAAAAGGATTGGAGCCAAGAACCCTAACCTGAGCCTTCCAAGTCCAGCTCTGGTCCTGGGCTTCCCAGAGCAGTGACTCGATCCGCCTGTGGGTCCCAGGGCCCACTCACTGCCTTTCTGGCGGGCAGACTCTCAAGCTTGCTCAGAGGCTGCACATTCGATGGCAGTATCAAAACTGCCGACTTCCATCATGTGGCCATCCACTCCACCCCTTGCATTTTGGGCTCCCCAACACTAAACTCTCTCCAGCCCTGAAAGGCCCCTCCGCTTTGCTTGATGTCCTTCTCCCCTTCTCCCACACGTTTTGCCCTAGCCAGGATCCTTGTTTCTGTGGCAAGTGCCCAAGTCCTATCGCTGAACACTGACAGTCTGCAGTCCCTCCGCTATTGACCATCTTCACAGGTGGGGCACAGGGAGGGTGCTGTCTTCGGGGAGCCTCACTTGCCCGTGAAGGGTTTGAAGGCCAAGATCTACCTCCAGTTAGCAGTCTTCTTAACACAGCAACCACCCAGTGGGTGCAAATAGCAACTGCTTCCACATGTCAATTCAGGCACCTGCTGTGGGAAACTTTGGCCCTTGCAGTAACTGTCACCAACACCTCTGCCTCCTACATACAGTGAACTTGTTATTGCCCATCTTTTTTTAAAAAACTGTAGCCATTCTAGTAGATGTGAACTTGGAAGGTAATCGTGCTTTTGATTTGTATTTCCTTAATGACTAATGATGTATGGCATTTTTTCATGTGCTTATTGGTCATTTGCACATCTTCTTTGAAGAGATGTCTAATCCCTTTGCCCACTTTAAAATTGAGTTATTTTTCTTTTTATTGTTGCGTTATAAGAAATTCTACATATTTTGAACTCTAGATCTTAACAGATACATGATTTGGAAATTTTTCCCCATTCTGTTGGGTTGTCTTGTCATTTTTTTGATGATGTCCTTTGAAGTACAAAAGTTTTCTAATTTTGATGAAGTCCAATTGTCCATCTTTTCATTGAGTATGTGTGCTTGTGGTATAAATAACCAAGAAACAATTATAAAATTTAAGATCATGAAGGTTTATTACCTATACTTTCTTTTAAGAGTTTTATAGTTTTAGCTCTTACATTTAGGTCTTTGATCTATTCTGAGTTGATTTTTGCCCATTCACTTCTCTTGGCCCCCTTGTTGAAAATTGATTGAGCATAGATATAAGGGTTTATTTTTGCACTCTCAGTCCTATCCCACTGTTCCATGCCTGTCTTTAGACCAGTGCCACCCAGCCTCGCTTACCATAGCCTTGTCCTGTGTTTTTAAATCTGCGAACGTGAGCTCTTCAACGGCATTGTCTTTTTCAAGATTGTTTTGATTATCTGGGTTCCTTTAATTTCCAGATGAATGTAAAGAACAGGTTGGGAACAGAGTAAGTTAAAATAACACAGAGCTCACTGATCTTAATGATAGTCTTTTTCTTGAATAAACACTCCCAAATATTGCAAGTCTTTGGCCAACTTCAAGTTCTTTAAAAGATGACTTTGACACTTGTTGCCAGTGTTTTCATTGCTTTTTTGGGACAGAATTTTCCGAAGTGCACAATCCACTATTCCTGCTGACTATGCTCACTTTCCACATCTTTTTTAACCAATAAGAACAGAACACAAGGGTTCAGGGATGTTAAAGCAAACATAAGCAAAAGGCAAAAAATAGCCGAGATCACATGTGGGCTGGGTTGTTCACTTGGAGGCATCAGCCCCAGGGCCTGGGGAGCTTTGCTAGCGCAGTGCTGGTGACATGATGACAGGAGGGGAGGAAAGCTCCTCTTCAAATTCTGCTGCTTGGGCAATTTAAACTTATTTGAGAGACATTTATTGGAAATAATAAAGTCTTTATAAGGGGTCGGTCATGGGCCACAAACTCCCAAACAGACCCGTTTTAAAAGTAAGTGAGCGGTCAAAACCAGTAATTAAACCGCTCTGCCACAAGATCGGGGTCCACGTGCCTCAGGGCCTGCATCCGCCTTCTAGTCACACGCAGGCATCAGAAAACAGTAACGGAAGAAACTTTTCTCTTTCAGTGAAGGTCACATTTCATTGCTGGACACATCTGCACAGCTACATCTCAATGTATAAATGCTACACCTCTAATAGTCAAGGCGCCAGGTGATAGGTCTAAACCCCAGGCCGTCACCGTGGCAGTGTGGTCTGGGCATGAGTCACAGGGAACTTCTTGGCTTCCCGGCATCCCATGATTTGCTAAGGAATGCATTGTCCTTCAGGTGTGATGGTCGTGCTGGGGACACCGTGTGGTGCGGCGGACCCCACCCAGGATTTGCAAAGTATAACCTTGGTTTAGAACTTTATCATGTATGTGCTAAGTGTGTCATCGGTTTCCTTCTCTGCCACATAGGGATAATGAAACAGTACAGCCCTGTTACACATACATTCCTAAAAATATTTACGCATCCCCAAAATACTTAGGAAGTCATTCAATGTACTCAGAAAAAAAAAAACCCTGGAAACCATCTGCAATAATACATATATATGACAAAACATTTCATACAAGTAACTACTAAATGAAATGTTTTACACATTTCAACACAAAAAAGAAAGCTGGCTGTGTCGTGCATAGAAATGGTACAGTACACAGAAAACCATGTACACTGACCAGTGTGTAATTAATTTGGTGAACTTTCCAGGGCAACTTTGACAGTATTCAACTTTCACATTCTGTGCAGAGTTTAGAAGGTAAAGTTCCAGTGAGAGATGACTTCATATATATGGGATTATTGCAAGAATCTGATGAAAATAATACACATATGTAAATGCTTTGTTATGGTAATGTTAATTGTTCATTATTTCTCATCATCAGGTGTAGGAGTCCTTTTCTGTTCCAGAGACAGTAAGAAATTTATATTGCCTCCTTCCTTTTTTTCTCAAAGTGGTTCAGAGCTGACGTGTTGGTGTGAGAGCAGTCTTCATTCATTTCACCTTAACTGACCCGCTGAGGTTGAAATCTACACCTTTGTCCTCTTTAGGGCTGGGCTCCTCCTGGCTGCCCAGCCTCAGTAGTTCTGCTCCTCACAGCTAAGCCCCCTGGCTCTCACCCAGAACCAATCGTCATCTCAAGCGGAATTCAGCATATTTACCCGTGGTGTGATTCTGGCTGAAACCTCATAACCCAGGTCTAATACCAATGCCTAATGCTCTGTCTTGTTTAGCTCTTAGTGCCTTGCACGTCTAAGACAAGGACACTACTTTGTTTGTTTGTTTGTTTGTTTGTTTCTGGCAACTTCATTCCCAGGGCTCAAGTTTATCCCCTGCACTCAGGTAAAGACCTTCTCACCAGATACCCTGAATGCCTTATTGCCTGCCTGGGTCCCGCCTGTGGAAGCACTACAGTGGACTGGGTAAAAGTGTGTGTATCTCCTGCCAGCCAGATGTTGGTTAAAATCCCACTCACACCATTTACAAATCATGTCACTCTGGGCAAGTCACTGATCTGAGACTCACTTTCTTCATCATAAGATGGGGCTGCTAAATATTCATGCTGCAAGAAAATATCAGGAAAACACTTTGCATAGTGCCCAAGGGCACAGGGTAAACTCTTACAAACATTAGCTCTTACTCTTTCAGATGTCCAGTCAACATGCTGTTCCTGAGGGTTAGCCCATCTCTCATCCCCCATTGGACCTCCCTGATACTCACTGCTGCTTGTCCCACCTGCTGCCCACTGCCCTCCCCTCCTTGTACCGACTTCTACACCCTGGATAGAAGATTCACTCTCTTGAGTGCCTCCTTTACTGCTATGGGCACATCTTTTTCCAAGTCCCTCTAGGTTTTTCCCTTCCATTGTCCAACTGTGTTCTCAGCTATGATAATCATTCCAGGGGTCAATCATGTGATCCAATCAGCCTGGACAATAATGCATGCAAAGCATCTAGCAAATGTTCATAAAGTTTTGGGTGGTTTTTTTGTTTGTTCTGTTTTTGTTTTTTGTTTTTTTTTTTTCCCCAAAGAACTAGATACCTATTGTGGAGAGAAGCTTCCATGGAACTGCATCCTTAATTATGTGACAGCTTATGTTTTG